CCGCAAAGGGCCAGTGTGTATGCAGTTATTTGGGATAACCTTTAGTTCAACCAAGGAGACCTCAATAGTTGACATGAGTGTTTATTTGATTAAACAATTTAAATGAGTATGAGAACAGTGATTTGGCGAAGCCTGTCTCTTGGTCGTCGGTTCCATTGACTCTGAAGCTGGCAGGTCTGGCTGGGCGACCAGGCAGGAGGCAAAGGAGCCAACCCCGGACCAGGACAGGGAGCCGAAGGTGGTGGAGGGAAGGAGGTGGGTGAATCAGATAGCTGTAATGGCAAAGAAGTGGGTTAGACTTACTCTTTATATAAAACCTGGACCAATGTGATTGGACACGATTGCATTCATTAGGTCTCCTTGTTTGAACTTTCGTATTCACTTTCATGTCAGCTGTTCAAACCCAGGTGTGAGGACTGTTCAGCCAATCAGTCCTCTAGTAATCTAATTAGGAAGTTGCAGCAAAAACCGCCATTTCTGGATAAGATTGCCCACCCCTGATCTAGGAGAACAAAGAATGGGATGGCCAGTGTCACCCAGGAAACGACATATAGAACATATAGAACAACAGTCGGGCAGGGACCGATCATGAGAATATTTAATATATATGTAGTTTCTTCTACCACTTACCTTAAAAGTAGTGCAATTATATGTGGCTTTACCATTTAAGCCTGTAGGTAGGGATCTGGGGATCTTACAGTACAGTATGTGTATCCGTGCTTTTCCAGTGTTTTTTTTTCCCCCGGAAATTAAGCATTTTCTGGGAGTGAAAATGGGTGGGCTGGAAGCTGTGGAGACCTAGTGCCAAGCTGTTCGCTGCTCAGCGTGACTCATAACCAGTTTTGCTGAGGCATTGAAGAAGTGCATCCTGTATTTTTTTCAGAAAACCTGGTCGCATCACAGCACACAGTTTGCAGTCTTGGCACAAGAGAGGGAATTGCTTCTCTACCTGCCCAGGGACATATAGACCTATGGGCCAGAGACAAGAAGAAAAACATATGACTAATTCTTCTCTAACGATGTCCTATTCTGGCTTCTTCATAGAATAGGAGTCTCCAAGAGCAACCCAAAATAGCTTCATACTTCTCTTCTGCTGTCCAGATCAATACCAGTTTGGCAGGTAATGCCATATAAAAGCCCAGCGAAGAGCTTCAACCAAGGCCCTGCCTCTCGTGAGATCTGTAATGGTGGTAAAGATGCCAGTCAAGGCAGGTGACCTACATGATGTCACAGATCTGATTAGCTAAGCTGAATGATAAAAATGTGTGGTTGACTTGAGAGGCAGTTGCTAGTCAGAGATATATAATCATGATGCATCTGCATTACAGTTTCTCATTTCAAAATTAAAAAGCTGTATGTGCATAGATTTGGCACTGCTTCAGTACAAGAAATTTTCAACACATGATGCCTATATCATTGATATTGGATTTTATAGTTACTGCATCAAATATTCTGATAATTTACCAGTTATTAATTACTTCAAGTATCTAGCTCTGTTTTCCTGAGAATAAATGCACTAGTTTCACAGCAGTGTGTATGTGTGTGTGTGTGTGTGTACAAATACTTGACATACTTTTAAACAGTGATGATAGTTTTCAGTTGGTGCAAAACCATGAATGTCGCTCTGTACTGGAAGAACAACCATTTAATTTTTTGAAGAAAAACACAATTACCAGCAGTATTGTTCCATCATCACAAACTCTACAGTGGTTTGATTTCATATTCATTACATTTTCCTTTGCTTTCATTTATGCAAAGGACAGAAAATACTTCTGGACTATTAGAATGGAACATTTAACACAAAGGAATTCAATTACAATGCACTTCTGTCCATTACAGTCTCAATGTGTGTATGATATTTCTGTGTGTAAATTGTGTTCATGAATTTATCCATTTTTGCCCCATATATATTTTGAATTATATATTTACACAGTTCAGCCCCTGGTGTTTATACATCCAAAGTAATTCAATAAAAATCAGAAGGACAAAATGAATATGTCTGTGATTTCAGGTGTGACAAAAATTACATATGCAGTATATATAGATTTTCAGATTGTTCATTTCTTTAATATCATGAATCCAGATTGATTTTCTTTATTAAACCAAAGCAGCAGCTAGTTAACACAATTAATTCCACTTTGCAGTGATTGCAGTAATCACAAGTATTTATCTTCAAACTGACAACAGTTGTTTATTATAATACCACGACCATCTAAGGAAATGGCGTGAATGGGCTGTATTTCACTAAATGCATTGGCAGCTCTTCTCTGTGTTGGTGGATGGCCCTGCCTTTCAATCAACAAGCACCGAGAGAAATTACCTTGCTTCAAGTAATTTGGCTAACAGTGACACTTCTTTGCTTGGTCAGTTTGAAATTTTACTTATATGGTGTGCCTCATTCAGGGGTCTCCAACTCCGGTCCTGGGGAGCTAATGTCCAGTAGGTTTTTTATTCTACCTGGCGTCTGATGAGCCTCACCTGCTCCTGGTATTTACCTGAAAACTGGTGTGGCTCATCAGAAGACAGGAGGGATAGAAAACCTACTAGACAGTAGCTCTCCAGGACTGGAGTTGGAGACCCTTGGCCTAAACCAATAGCAAAGATTATATAACAAGATTTTCATCATTTTAATTGATTCCTAATTTTAAATGAACAAGAGAATAAGGCCAACTTTCCTTTCTTCAAAATGTATCTACCCGTTTAGGGGTCCTTAGTGACATTGTCTATTTTTCTTATTATCTGAAACTTAGACTTTGCTGAGTAAGTGTTGGCCGGGAAAGATACTCTATAATGTTCTGTAATCGCACTATACTACACTTTTTGAAAATTGTGATCACAGAGAATGATCAGGTCTGCGGTAGCATCTTCCAGAAAATAATACAGCCTTCCCTCTTAATACAAAAAATGACCAACAATAGATTTATAAGTATAACATTTTTTGGATACATAGAACCACTTCACTAATCCATATTCTTGCCCAAATGTACATTTTAATATTATGTAGCTTATTTTTTCCCCACTGTGACTAATTGGGTTGTGTTCCTTTAGGGCAAGATGTATCTTAATGAAATCTATTGTACGCCTTTGCTACACACTCTCTGTGGACTGTGCCATTCTCTGCACTCCCCTGTATGAACACAATGCATCATTTGCATCCCCAATGATGAAAGACACCAGCAGCCAAATTGTAGTCTCACAGTGCGTGCAGTGTTCTATTTTTTTCACTCCAGTGAATTTATCAAATGGTTTGAGTGAATTTATCAAACGACTTTGCGTTCGATCAACACAATTTGTGGCACCTATTTTCCTAAATTGACTCTAGAATAGAATACAAAAACTGTGCTGTTTTATCTAGCTCATCTTCCATATCATTTCTGTACAAAAATTACTTGTAGGTATGCTGATGCCTTTCTGCCTGCTTTGTGCATGCTGGATGGATAATTAACAGTGAAACAAAAGAATCTGTTAAGCTGATTGTTAATGGCAGTCAGAAAATTTTTACTTCAGTCACAGTTAAGGGCAGCCCTTCCACAGTAGCCTAATTTGTTTACCCTTCAGCAGCCAACAAACTGGCTTCTTTGCCACTTTGATTGACTGTCTGCTCTTTTCCGGACAACACAAGTGATGCACCAAAGCTAATTCCTTTCATGGATGACATCAGCTCTAGTTAGTCAATACTTTATCAAGGACAACTGACCCAATCAAGATAAAAGCACAATAATTCATTACATTGAACAGATATGACTCAGCTGGCTGATATTAATTCTGGTTTTATAGAAGCAGCATATCTGGGCCCATATTCAGATCATATGTGTCTATAAAGGTAGGATCTCAAACACTAGACATAATAAATGATATTTAGAAGATATTCTAATATTTAAAAAAGCATTCACAGAACTGTGCAAAAGCTGTAGACAGTCAAAATCACCCAGAAACTTGCAGTAACCATACAATCATGGGTGCTGGTAGAAATTTTTGGGCCCATAAAAGTATATCAACCCAGACTAATCCAGACCAATCCAGTTATGTTCCAGATTTTTTAGGGACCCTGTCACTCAGGAGCCCTTGGAATCGACGAAACTCTCCCTGCCTTTACGGAGCTTCTGTATCCAATATACCCATGCATCTATTTATTTACTTAGCAAAGCATGTTTGGCTAATCAATACCTCATATTTAACTAATTCATTTAACTAGGTAAGCTGGTGGTGAATTTGGCTAGGGTGCACTTCATGAGAGGTTCTTGGTACTGTGGTAGTGTTCTTCTTGAGAAATTCTTGTTGTCATCGTTTGTATAGGCCGATATTCTAATGTCAAATTGTGTTTTTTTTCTGAGCAAAGTTACACTAGATCACTATCCAGATAAATAGCTTTAAACATTTCCTTTGACTCCCTAAGACTTTTGCACACTACTGTATATCAATCCTATTTTTGAACATGGTGCGGAATGCGAAACTGTGGTAAAGTTTTATTATACTACAGCTTTCGTCTTCAGTGTTACGTTTAGACGAGACTAAAACTTCCCGAGTATCGAAAGGAATCAGTATCGACAGACCAACTAAATAAAGGGATTCTTGTAATATACTATCATTTAAATCTGTGATTTTTAGGATAAACATTTCCTGTCCGAGGCTATAAAAGTGAAAATCGTAGTTACAATACACTGCTGCCTGTCGTTAGTTTTACTGATTTCTAAATAAATTGTTTTAGTCGTTTAGTTCTATCAAATTTTAGCACTTTGATACATTAAATTAAACAATTTTCTGTAAAATTAGATTTGTTTGTATACCTTTGTATTACCTCAATGTACGGTCTGTGGGTATTTTTTATTCCGTTATTATTGGATGAACGCATTTAGTTTCAGGTTAATGTACTAATTTGCAAGCATCTCCTATGATTTCTCCCGCGCGCTTCCGTGGGAATAAACTGGAACGTGCGTGGGTAATGGGACGGGAAGGGGTGGCTTAATGCGCGTCCCCGTCTGTCGCGTACGAATATGTGAGGGAATATATCGGTTTGCATTCGCTAGCTGTGCTTGTTACATGAGAGAGAGGAAGAGAGCGAGAGATCGAGCGAGGGAGAGAGATAGCAAGGGGGCGAGCGGAGGCACCACAGCACCGGCGGTGGCGTCAATGCATTTGTGTCTTCGAATCGCCAGTTTTAAGCTGCCGACACACAGCGCGACGTTTCCGATTGAGATTTCACGTCGGGGAACTCTAGGAGGCTTTTTATACCAAGCGACTGGACCCAGACGTTTCTCTTTCGGCCGCATCTGAAAGACAAGCCCTCTGTCAATATCGTATTTTAACTCTATTTCTTGAATTTTAATGGGAAGATGGCGATCTACGCTCAATTCTGCAGCATCTTCTGCTTCGTCTCTGTTCAAACTATCCTTATTTTTAGCATATCCTCGCCAGGAACACAGAGTCTCAGTTTCCCTCAACAGTACACGTAAGTATCCATCGGGGGACATACAGCGAGCGCTCGGAATTGGGACAGGTAGTTCAAACTGTGCTGTTTACTGAGGTGCGGGAGCCGCTTGATAGTGACAGCGGCTGAAACTGAGACCCCCTTTCTATTCTATAGTCTCGGTTACTTACACGTGCATATTCACGTCTATATATCGGAGACTTTGCCACGCTTGGATCGTCGAACCAGTCTTTCCTTGCTGGCTTATTTAATTTGATAAGGTTGAGCCCAGGGATTATCAGTTTTCCTGGAATGCACAGGTGTTTAGAGATATATAGACTAGTAGATTGAAATTGAAGTAGTAAATTAATGACGTTTCGTTGCGCGGTTTTATCCAGAGTGGCTACTGTTTGTAGAGCAGTAGAAATATAAGTTGACTGAATACTGTCTAGTGGTCTGGTGCTTCGTCTCCCCATTGTTGACATCTCTGGAATTGAATCATATTTATGACTAGATGGAATCTCGTAAACTAATGGCTGTATTCTGTCTAGCGGTATATATTATTGTCTGGCCCACATTCTTTATCTTGTGAAGATGTGAACGTGGGAAACCTGTATAAAACAATCCAAAAGTACAATTTATGACGAAGTAACCGGGACAAAATAGACACATATGTCTAATATGATGGCTTCCTTAATAACAGCGTTTCATTTGTATTCTGTATTATTGATTGAAGTCTTCCAGCCAAGTCAGTGTATAGTTCAGTATTAACTAACAGTACTCCAGTAATGTATCTGTTTGATTCTCAACGCTTTTCCCGTAATGTTGCTGAGGATTTCTTTTGGAAAGATATTACATTTTTTGTTTGGTTTTATTGCAGCTAGGTAACTGTTATTATGCCTCTCCTTTCAAAAAGTATCGCATGTCCATGTAACCTATTCTTACTGTATTGATATTGATTGCATTTTTTCCCAACGGGACAGTTTATGTATTATCAAAGTACAGATTTACTTAAGCAGGCTAGACTAGACTCTTATAGAATCTACAAGTGATCCGATGCCAGAATGCATATGCAACTTTCAAGTCCTTTGCAGAAATATAATGAACTTCAGTAAGACGCTTGTAGCCTAATGAAAATTGCAGAAGGGCGACTGGAGATATTTCACATTACATGAACGGATCTATCCGGCATATGCAGTACTTATGAACCTCGCTAAAATAATAACGGCAAGGGGGTAAACAAGGACAGTGGACTTGGGCAAATACTGAAACGCTCTTCTGTTGCATTTCCCATTTTTCAGATCTGCTCATTTGTCATTTTATCTAATTCAATTTTTATCGGAAGCCAGGCCTGATAATCGCATTACGTAAAATCTTGTCTGTCCTGTTATTTAACGCTAAAAAGACCGGTCAAAGTTGTTTAAGGATAAAACCAATTAAATATGATAATTTATCCTATTATTATTATTTTAATGTACAACAAACGTACAGCTCTGTTTGTGCTGTTCCATTCATCGCATGCACAAAAACATTGTCATTGTTTTAATAATAAGGTGTATAGGATGAAAATGCGTGCATCAGCACTTTACCCCCTTTGCTCCTTATTTACGCACAAAACTTTCAGCATTCTTTTATGTTGTTGAATATGTTGCAGGAATACACGTTTTCACGATGCACAGGACAACTGGGTATAGAAAATGGATCAATATAGTAGTAATCTTTTTATGTGACTGATTACCATGTTTAAAATGAGAAATACAGTAAGTGCAAGCTGGAGGAAACTGTTGAACACGGTTCCTGCTCGTTTTACCCTTCGCTATATATTAGCGAACAGTCACACGATAATCATATAGGAAGCATTGTAACGATTCTATAAAATATAGCCCAGGCGTTCCTCAAAGTTAATGTTACCTTTAGTGTGCTTATTTTATGGATTTATACTCATATTCCTTAAAAACAGTGACGTACGTAAGGTAGGAACACACTTTAATACATATTAAAAAGGTTAACACTTAAATAAATGGTGTATGATTAACAATGATTTAACTAAAATAATTGTTTGTCATCAATTAGGAACTGAAAAGCCGTCAGTGTCACACCTGATGTACTTTGGCAGCATAATGTAAGGACAGGCCAGCCGTGTGTACCGTGAATAAAGGTTCATTTGCAGCTTGCCATGCGTTTTTATCTCAGGCCTGCATGGACCGGCAGGGAATGATCATTCCTTACTGAAGAGGGCACAACCCCACAAATTATCTGTCGGAGAGAATGAGCAGATAGACCACCCGATTACATTTACCATGTCTCGCCAGTAACCTCTGATACGGGAGGCCGTCTGCAGGTTGCATGTACATTTCAGGGCGATAAGACGTGTTCTTTCAGCTGAGTTCTTTAATTACGCCCGATTTACCGCTAGATTTACGATGTGTCTTTATCGTAGTTTTATGCAAGTTTACTTTTAATTATTTTACCACCTTATTTTGATTTTTTTTCCTTTTGTACATATAATTTGTTTGTCTCTTAAAATTAGTAATAAAGTGTTCAATCATAATTGTGGTCTTTTAATTATTTGGTTGATTAACTATGCCTTTAGTCCATTAATAATTAAGCGAATTAATATATTCTAGCTTATTAATAATTAAGTGAATTACTGATTAAATTACGATTAATACTATTTTGTCCGATTTTGTTTGAGAATCACCGATGAACCACATTAAATTAAGAGGGGTGTACTTTTTGGCATAACAGGATAGAAACACATCGCATTTTCAGTGTTACGGAAAGCCCGATGAGATCATATTTAATATGAGGTTAGTTATGAGCAGCCTTGGGATAACGATCGAAAATCTAAGTATACAAGAGTATTGATTCCTACGAGAACGTCACAATTTCCCGGAAGGACAGCGCTGACTAAAACCATGGCAGTAACAAGGTGATACAATCATACAGACTGTCCGATCACGACATCCCTGGTAAGCCAGGGGGGCCCATCGTCAAGCAATTAGTTTGGCTCCTCTACAATTTCTTTTATATTGTACATTTGTAATGCCGTGAGTAATGTTTTTTTCTTTCTTTTTGCATTTCGGTTGATTTCTTTGTACGAAATGTAGAATTCTATTTTTTTCTGCTCATTGTCGTTATTGTAAGTCTATACCCCGAATGAAGCATGCAAACAAGATATGTATTATACTATGCTGTAAGCCTACATGACAGCGCATCTGTGAACTTTAAAACTTTGTTTAAAATTGCAAAGTGGCTTTGGCTTCTATTTTACTAGGGAATTAGAAAAAATCTTAGAAACATTTCTTATAAAAACGATCTGCACATTTAGCCTATACGTTTATACGATTAGTTATTTTAACGAAGCGACTTAGGAAAATAATTTCATATGGAAATAACATTACTCTAAGATTTTGAGACGGATATAAAGATATAAAATAAAATTAATTTAAATCAGTTAGGCTGAGCAACCTTTATGCTATCGTCGTTAATAGATGTGGCATCTAGATCAGAATTTTATCACACCCAGTCAAGCGTAATTAAATATATTTCTTGCTGGAATAATTAAAAACCCCTCCTAAGAGCAACCTTTCAAATATGTGTTTATTTGTCACAAAAATGTATCTAATGTAATGTATTTACCACAGGACATGGGGGCCTGGAAATTATCACAAGCAACATACAGGTAGAGCACTAGCAAGAGTGCTAGTGCGTGCACACACACACATACCTGTACACACACATGCACACACGCATATGTAGGGTAAACATATCCTTATGGGGACCGCTCATTCATTTCAATGGGAAAAATGGTAACGCTAACTATGACAACCTTAACCCCTACCCTGCTCTAACCATAACCATAAGTAGCCTAACAAAATACAAGAGTTTTTGCATTTTTAGTTTTTTCATATAGTAGTCACGGATTTTTATAAAATAGAGTTTTAAAAAACAGATATTTATCACGTTATGGGGCCATTATGTCCCCATGAGGATAGGTAAACCCGCTCGCACATGTGCACACACATGCATGCAGACACTCACACATGTATACACACACACATGCAAAGTCACAGACACACATGCAAAGTCACACACACACATACATACACATGCACAAACGCACATGTGCACACACATGCATGCAGGCACACACGCATACACACACACACGCACACATACATACACACACACATACGCACGCACACACGTACACACACATACACACACGCCCACATACATACACACACACATACGCACGCACACACGTACACACACACACACACACACGCACACATACACACACACACACACACACACTATAAGGCAATTTACAAATGCCAGTCAACCTAACTGTACATCTTTGTGCTGTGAGAGGAAACTAAGAAGCTGAATGAGGAGGGAGAGAACATGCAAAGTACACAGAGAGCAGAGGTGGCACTCAGATCCATAACTGTAGAGGTGAGGCTACAATGCCACTCAACACGCCACTGTGATTTCACATGTGATTGACATTGAAATAGTTGAAGTAACATTTTTATAGTATGTGACAGTTCAGATTGAATGGATACATTGAATGGATATATTTTTGAATTTTTATGTTCCAACCTAGATACATTTTAGTAACATAGATTTGTTAGAAAACCTTGAGACTAAATATGTTCTTTAAAAATATTTAATACTTTCATGGAATACACAAGGTATGTTTCATTTTTGATCATATTTGATTTATTTCTTTGAGATATAGTTTATTTTTATGGTGACCGTCACACAGTTGAATAGGGCAACACTGAAAACATTATGTGGTCTTCCCATAATTCCAGCCAGCCAGACATATTAAATATAGCTAGTTGTTTAGCTTCATCTATCTGGCGACAGACCTACGGAGCTGATACCTACAAATGAGAATATCACATGACCATATTTACACTACACAGCGCTTGCAGATCATGTCAGTGGTAACATTCATTACAGAGTAGCACCAAATCAATTCTGTTGACTGGGGAAGTCTCTATCGATATTTTACAAGCAATGAAGTGATA